TGACATATATGACATATCTGACATGATCGATAAATAAGATATATTTGACAGATTCGACATATATGACATATCGGACATATTTGACATATATGATATATTAGACATATTAGTTATATCTTTTATATATTGTATTTTATATAAATAGATAGCTTTTTTAGACTATGTAAAAAGTAGGATTTGACAAGTCAGTTTTTAGTAGTTTTAAGAGGCAAATAGGCCTATCGTATTACATTTTTAGTTTTATACTTCATTTCTTTATTTTTTCTTTTCTTTTCTTTTCTCTTGTCATATCTTTTATTTTCTTTATTTCTATTTCTACTCTTATTAATAAACATCTTACTTGAAAATATAATTACTCAATACCTTGTAAATTGTTGATCGTGAAGTACTTGTATAAACCTTGACTTGAAACTTTTACTTGAATTAGTTGTGATAATCAACTTGTAAAAGCTTTAAGATTACTGTGCAATTGAAAAGAAATAACACTCTGACACCCCGTCTAACAGTTGTAGTTCATAAGAATTACACATTAACACTATAGCTTTATTAAGAGCATTGGTCTGAGTAGATGGTGTAGTGGTACCATACTTGTTCATGTATATAGCTACAGCATTTTGGTCTTGATATGTTAATTCATAAGACTTGACTCTATTAAGTGCAGTATCCCAAGTTTGGTCATTATAAGGCTTCACCATTAAATGTAATTCTGTAAGAGACCATTTACAAGTTTTTAAGTTTTCATCGCTGCTGGATATGCAAACTGAGGGGTTTCTATTCTTCGATATAACTCCTGTAGAGCACAGGTATATACATTAACAGTTTCGTTAGGACTTTGATGTCATCATTCTAATTTTGTAATCCAGATTTCAACTAAGGTTTGAGAATAAAAAGCAGCAGAAAAATTCTGTATGAAATCTGTATTGTTGTTATTTCCATCCCATGCATTAATCTTGTTTGCATTATTATTAGGCAATGCTTGATTAGTAGTCCACCATGTAGAAGCTGATCCTTTAAGGGGAGGGTGTACAAAAATCATTTTTAATATAAACCACGTGGCAAATTTTTTTTTGTGTAATTATAACAAAATTTACCATAATTTTTATAATTTCTGTGAAAATTATGAACGTGTTACATATATAAATTTTATTTAACAAAATAGAACCAAGTTTGCATATTAGCATTTGCTTGTGTGCCTGATACTACTCCAATTACAATAATACTGCTAGATAAACTTTTACTATCTTCAAATAGTTTTCGCAATATAATCTCTTCTTGAACTAGATCATGAACAACTAAATCAGTCAAGGCAAATTGAACCAAGTCTTTAGTTTTCAGCACCTTTTTTTTCAGTTGGATATACAGGCAAAGTATTCCAATTTTTTTGTTTTATCTTTGTGGTTTTTCCACCTTTAAATACATCTATTACATTGTCTGGACTAGTGATACCTGACTAAACTCTTTTTTGAAAAATTGTAATTTCGTTAAAAATTTCGTCTCTGTAATATTTTTATATAAATAAATATATTTTTTAATGTATTTTAATTCAAGGAATTTAGATTAAGTTAAATATAATTTTGACAATTAAGTAAAATAATTT